TAACCTAATAACCAGCCGCTGTCATGTTTGTACAACAAAAAACAAAAAAAAAAAAAAAAAAAAAAAAAAAAAAAAAAATCACAACTGCCCACACAATGTGTACACAGCATTTGCGGTTCATGAAGATGCTCATGATTTGAAGTGGGCAATTTGTTGCATAATACTTACACTGTTCAAAAGTATAGGGTTGGTACAATGTTTTAATGTTTTCAAGAAAAGTATCTTATGCTCATCAAGGCTGCATTTATTTAATCAAAAATACAGTAAAAAAATGTACTATTGTGAAACATGATTAAAATACAATATTAAAATAACTGGATTATTTGATCAATAGAAAGTTCAAAAGAACAGCATTTATTTTAAACAGAAACTTTTGTAACATTAAAAGTGACAGTATAGACATGTATAGTCAATTTAATGCATCCTTGCTGAATAAAATTATTCATTTATGGAAAAAAAAAAAAACGTACTAACCCCAAACATTTGTAAGAAGGGCTAAACAATATAAACTATATTTGTGATGATTTTGCTGGACATGAAATCATGAATATCACAGAATTCGGCCATAAAGTTTCCTTCTACACTTTCCAGCCTTTTTTGCCTCATGACTTCAGAGTATGAAAGTGTTAAGACCGATGTTTTTTTAATGCATTCCGGAATATATTAAGCTGTAGCAAAAATGGCATTCAAGTTCAAGTTCAGTGAGTCAGATCAAACTGTCCATTGAATTGAATCGATTCAAAACTGTAAATGAACAATTTGCCTGCATAATCATTCAAAAATGTTCAACAAAATCTCTATGGCAATTCTAAGCAAAAATATGTAGGTAAATATTGTGCTTAATTACATTGTATAAATAATCAATATTTTTTATTACATTTATATTTATTATTACTATATACAATCTTGTGCTCATTCAATAGAAAATAATTACATTTTTAACTACAACATTTTTGACTACATATTTTTACTACACGTAGTTCGTAAAACAAACATTTCAATCTGCATTGCAACATCTACTTTGGTTTAAATGATTCCTCTTATTTAAGAAAAAAAAAAGTTAATATTCGATATGTATTAAATGCTAATGAACAGAGGCGGACAGAAGAAGTATTTTTACTCTGATAAAGTACTGACACTTGAAAAGTACTTTTACAGCAGAGTGTTTTTCTTTAGAAAACTGTACTTCACAACATTCCAAAGCATAATATTGTACTTTTTACTGCACTACGTTTCATATTAAATATCATTTAATACTTAATTACATTAGAAATCTATTACTTTCTTACGTTTACTCAAGTAAAAGTAATTCAAATATTTACTTCAGTACAAGAAAGTACTAAATTTTTAATGTTCTTAAGTATTAAAGGTAAAAAAACCAAAAAACAACAACTTTAATTTATGAAATGTGGTGCAGTAAAAAGTATGACTTAAAAGTATGCTTTGGAATGTAGTGAAGTAAAGTTTTCCAAAGAAAAACACTCAAACTACAGAAACTTTTTAAATTGACTTGAGTAAAGTAAAAATACTTCACTACTATCCACCTCTGCTAATGAATACTGATTATTACCGGAGGCTCTTCGAAGGGAACAGTTTCTCCAGCTTCCTTGTATAGTAGCGCCAGTCTCTTGAGAGTCAACTCATCAGCCTTCACCCCCTCAGCCTGCATGCGCTCATACAGAGCCTTCGCTGAACTGAAGTCCTTGTCTAAACCTGTTGAGAGTGAGGGAGAAAACATGCAATATTTCATTCTGCACATATCAGGTCTCATGAAATAATAATGCTGTAGAGGTCTCCAAGTACTGAAATGTGTTAAAGTTCTCACGGAACGCTGGCTAAAGTAGCCCCTCATTAGGAAACATGTGTCTGTATTAGCAAACGTGCCTCCTGTGAGTCAGTCAGTGCGTTCTGCTTGTTGCATTTTTAATTGACAGACTATTAACTGACTAGTTTTGCTATGTGCCTAAATGGCCGGTGACTTGAACAGGCCAGCCAGATGAATGGAGTATTAATGCCGTTGTATAGCAGATGAATCATGTAGCTTTTAGCACTGATCATGCTATAAAGAAACGCATTCAAACTATTCAAAGACAGAAGCAGAACAACATGTGCTGCTCCAGACGAATACAGAGTAACACAATAGCACTACTACTGTTCAAAGGTTTGGGGTTGGTAAGATTTTTTTATGTTTTTGAAAGACTCTTGATCAACAATACAGTAAAATTGTGAAATGTTATTACGCTTTTAAATAACTGTTTTCTATTTTAATATATTTCAAAAAGTAATTTATTCCTGTGATGGCAAAGCTGAATTTTCAGCATCATTACTCCAGTCTTCGGTGTCACATGATCCTTCAGAAATCATTTAATATGCATATTTGCTGCTCAAGAAACATTTCTTAGTATTATCAATGTTGAAAACAGCCGTGCTGCGCAATATTATTGTGAAAACCAATTCTTTTCAGGTTTTTTGATGAATAGAAAGTTAAAGCTGCAGTCCGTAAGTTTTGCCTCTTTGACGCCATCTGTTTGAAAACCTGGAATTGCAGTTACTTGCGGAATTATCTAGCTTGCGTGGGTTGTGCTGCGGCACGGCTCCAGCGCGGATGAATCTAATGTTTTGAGGAGTATGTGTGACAGTCAGTCACCGCACCGGTGTGAATCCTATACTTAGTAATCACAGACTCTAGCCTACGTCTTGGAATATATGACTCAAATAAGCATTTTCACCGTATATTGTCATCTGAACAAGTAAGTAACAAGTCTGCCACGTTTGTTCTGACCAACTGAGGAAAAAAGCATTACAATAAATCGCGCTACCAATGGTGA